GTCCCTTAAATTATAGTATGCAATATGCATTTAAGTTTTCCTAACTAATCTATAAAATAAAAAATGATAATTCTACTCGGAAATACTTCCATTTGGAATTAAATACAAAGCCTTTTGAGTCTGATGCTAGTCGTACATAAATCCACTTGGGGTCAAGTGATAACACTTACTAACATGTAAAAATTTGGACCATTTCTCTTAATAAAATTGATTTTTAAAGATGGAGTTCCAAATTTTTATATAGTATCGAAGACCATAAGGGAGCAATTTGATTTGTCTAAAGTTCAAATAAACATTTGAATTTCAAAGTTGATATTATCATATACACGACAATCTCGTGGGAGCATGCTAAAGAATGAATTCCACATTGATAATTATAAGGATACTAATTACTAACTAACATATCAAAATTTAGACAACTTTTCTTATGAAAACAACTTTTAACAACAGAATTTCAAATCTTAATAAATATGAACCCCAGAGTAATAATTAATACCTAATTAATCATTTTGGGTTCAAATTAAAAATTCACCGTATCCGGATATCCATACCATCATATCTGTGACCTTTTAGAGAAGATGAGAAAAGGGTCTTTCAATCCACAGGTAACACCAAAAATAAAACAAAATTAAATCAGAAATTGGACCCATTTATCAAGCACTATACCGTATATCTCAAGCCAAAAACAGAATATATGTTACATCATTTCATTAAAACATTAAGAAGACAAAATTATTCGTTAAAAAAAAAAAAAATTTGTTTTAGCAAGCCGATCTTTGGGTGGGTTGACATTATTTTTGTCAAAGAAAATTTAATCGTGCACAATTTTCAAAAATTAATGATAAAAGTACTTTAATCTAGAGTATGCTCTACCACACTTAGAATTTTGAACTTTTTATGCATAAATGAGTAACACTATTTAGTGCTCTTAGCCCCTGTTTGAGCCCCATTACATTAAATTTCATTACATTTCATTTTTCTCTTTCCTATTTTCAATCACACAATCTTCCATAAAATAACATTACACGTAAATCGAAAACTTTTCATTCTTTTTCCCTCACTCATTTAAAAAAAAATACTATTCCACCCATTAATTTTTTCATGTAATGGGAGTCAAACAAGGGCTTAATATTAAGAATCAGTTTAAATATCAATTGCATAACATTAAATGATAAATTCACTTAAATACAATCTTACACGATTCATTTAATTGAACCTATCAAAATTCTGCATAAATTATTTAGGCTTATCAGCAAATCTTTTAGTAACATCAACACAGTTTAATTTTTGGACATTGAAATCATAACCGTCCTCACATTGTAACTTGTATGAGACAGTGACACATTATAGTTTCGGGTCAATTAACTTGACTGAACCTTACAATTTTATCATCAAACTTAAAATTGCGTTTCTCATCTCTACTTAAATATAACTCGATTAGCCAAATCAAACGAACCCTGAATGATTATGTAAAAGCTGAAAAGAGGTGATTTTTCTGAGTGATGATTCCCGTTGTTGATTCAAGCATCAAACCAGTTCACAACTTATTTTTGCAGATCTTTTGAGAGATTTTTATGAATTATACACCGTTAAAAAATATTTAAACGTTAATTCTTGATAACTTGATCGATGGTCGGACGCAGAGACTTGAAGATATATTTGTACGTTACTTCCGTTGGGTGTATTGAATCAAAGAACACGTACTCAGAGGGATCAAAGCAAACGGGTGATGTTGGATTGCATAAAAATGAAGCTTCTACGTATCCACTCCCACAGCAACCAGTGTAAACCTCCTCAAAATCTGCAAATGTCACATGTTACGAGTTCTTAGGGTTTTAATAAAATAAGAATGAAAGTTGAAAATTTGGAGGTGTAAAGAAAGGCAACGAGCTTACCAAATTTGGAGGGGTTTGTAATAATTTCGTCCATTGGTTTATATATATCAGCATAAACTATTTTGGTGCCATAGGCATAACTTTTCACGTCGTTCAATTTCGTACTCAACTTCTGGTTGTAATCAACTGCAATGGAGGATAATGATTCGATACATCCACGACTATGGGATGCATTGCCGGAAGTGAGGGTAATTACAGCCGGCAAGCACCCCATTGGTGGTAGTCCCACCAAAGCTATCGTCCTAGCTCCTTGCTCCAATAGACCCTGTCCACCATGTAGATTCAATGTGTCACGAATTTGTACTGTAATTTTTTCAAGTAAGCATCTATAGTATCTAGCACCACTGGTGCCTAGTACCAGCAAGGTATTTACGGTTTGACTAAATTGAAAATAAAAATAAAAATTACAGTTAATCATCAGTTGCGGAAATTGAGCCTTATCGTCACATAGTCGAGTTGCTTAGCACCATTTATGTTTAGAAAATACCACCACCTGTTCTATTTCAAATTTTGAGTAACATATATTCCTCATTGACCATTTTATTAATAGACATTTTTTTGTTGTGTGTGATTTTTAAAAAATATGTTGAAATACCTATAACACCCTCTTAAACAAAATATTTAAATTTATATATTTAATTTGTCCCTTTAATAAATTATACCTGCATAGTAAATAAATTTTTATGCCACATTAATTATAAATTATAAATAATCGAAGTGCTGCACCAATTTAATAGTCCCACCTAATAAATATGTTGAATGTCACCATCACTAAGTCGCAAGATTACCTGTATGGTGATCATGACACCACATCAGAACCCCAACCCAACTGCAAAAGCTATCTTTAAACTTTGATCACGAGTCGAATTTATTGGGCTGCTATGAATAAAGTTTCTTTTGAATTATAACTAGCTCCCATTACTTCAAAAAATCAATTTTATGACTTTTATTTCAATATTCGTCATTTTTTACTTCCTCATTCACAAATGGGATCCACTTTTTTTTTCTAACGATAAAAAATTGAATTCTCAAAATCATTATTGAACATGCACGTATTGTTCAATATTACTAAATTATTTCTATTAAGCACGTCGGCTTACCATAATTACTTATAAGTTGAAGGGCCATTAGCCACTAGAAAATATAAACTGGAT